TTATGCACAAATAAGGCGGAAAGGGAAGGAAAAAAACACAGGTCTCGGGGCGTCAATCCGAGATATGGTGTAAAACTCCTTCCAGCAACGGGTTAACTGCCTTTGGCTCCTTTCTGCATCTGTCTGGTGACGTGTTTGTCATTTCTCTCTCTCTCTCTCTCTCTTTCTCTCTCCCTCTCTTTAAAAAGAAAAGAAAAAAAAAACAGGGGAGCAAGGTAGAGAAAAAGAAATATTCCCTAAAACGAGAGAAGTCCTCAAGCATTCAGGAACAACACCTAAAGTATCAACCAGCTCGTTTATCTCTTGTTTCAAGACTTCATATTACAAAGGAGCTCCCTGATGATAAGTATCTGCTGTCAGGGAGATTGACTGCCCTTGATGGACATGTTAGCAGTTTCTGATGTCTTCTCCTCGGGGGCGATGTCCCAAGCCCTTGGAAAGGTGCATCTCCCTCTGATCAGTCTTGCCATAACCTGAGGGGAAATAATTAGCAAAAAAAAAAGGGGGGGAATCAGTTAGTAACACGGGAGATGATGATCTGTCTCGATGCAACACCAGAGAGAGAGAGAGAGAGAGAGAGAAAAGGACAATGCATTCAGTTGGAGAAAGTCGTGTAGAGTGAATACAGAGGAACTTCAGAGCGACTTGTAATGTTTGTTTGAGCCTCTGCTAATTGGAACCGAAGAGCATTATAAGCAACACCTTGCTCTGTTACAGATGTTTCAGTAAAACCGGTCCCTTTCTTTACCTTTGAAACCCGGCGCATCATTTGAGCAGCATTTTCCAAAGTAGACGTGTTAGTAAGTCTACTCCCAATATGCGAATCGAGCTCCTCGGGATAAGAGATTTTAGGGTCAGGGGAAGAGGGTGCACTGTTCTGTCAAGTACCCGAGGAACTTGCAGCAATTTAGTGATCAACTCGAATGCATGGTTCGGATATAAGTTGTACATATACATAGCGTGTAGTTAGTTAGTTGTTCCGGTAACATAAAGAAATGCCTTCAGTGGAACTGTTGATGAACGTCGTTTCAAACGGTGTACATGCCTGTACTCAAAAGGTGTGTGTAGCCCTTGTTAAAAAGTAAACCAGTGATAAACCCTATAACACTACACCTCGCTGCGTGCGTGTGGAATATGATTGTGGAAATGTCTAATTAAATGAACCGTTTTTTAACTCGACCCCGTGTAACGACTCGAATCAGAAAGAGCCGAGCATCATATGTGTGCGTGTGTGAAAAAAAAAAACGATTTACCTGCACGGTTGTAACAAGCTTTGACTAAACCATCAATCTCCAGAGTGTATTGGTAGGCTTTCAGCAGCATGTCCCAGGTATGGAGTCGCATCTGCTACACTCCCGCTATGGGATGCATTCATCGATGAAGAGGCGCCCAGTTATAGCTCCTGATCTGCTGGGATCATACTACTCTCTGCACACTCACCAAAAGATAAGGGCAGTGCAATCAAGCTTTATCTTCCCCCCCCCACCCCAGAAAATAGTTAGTCACGATTCCTTATTAAGACACATTAAATATTAAAGGGAACATGAACTCCACAATGGACATTGCAGCCGTATTGGTAAAATAGATGAACCCTTTAGGAATAAGATGTTTCAATCAGCATTTACCATCTCCAGGTGATGAAGTTTTTAAGCCCCGTTTAAAGCAACTTCCAGCATAGACTAATCCGCTGTTCTCCCCATCAAGGCAACTTTTGTAAAACTGGAGAAAATGGCTGCACATAAGAAAACATCACTATTCCTCCCGTTATTATTGGATATTTGCGCATAATGGGACAGGTCAACGTTAACATAAATGGTGGAAGGCATAGATGGTAGACTATAAAATGTTAGACTGAAGTTAACTTTCTCCGTCGGTGTGAACAGAGACAAATCACAGCACGTTATGGTTGGAAAGCTCCCAATGAAGGGAAAGCAGAGGAATGAGTTTGGTAATGGTTCCAAATGAATTCATCCCTAAGCCATTCTCAGACATCAACAGAAACCCAGATTTGTGCGTTTAATACCCTGAGTGATTATATATCTGGTGCTGATGAACCCCACTGCCGACGTATCCGCACTTCATCGAAATGTAATAGCCTCCAAACTGTGACTGTTTGATCCATTCTAATGTTTTACTATTTTATTGTAATTGCATTCCCCCTTTAAAAAAATAAGTCTAAGCTAGCAATGATTGTCACTTACTTCAACGTATTGCAGATAACTCTTTTCTCACATCCTCTATGTCGACTTGGCGTATGTACTTGATATATCTTTCTATGCAGATTGACACCCATCGATGCCTTAAAGCAATTGACTGGGGCGAGGGGGGCAGATGATTTTCCACTATGCAATCCTACATACAGTTTCTCTTGACTGTCACTGAGTTCAGGCGTCAAACACCTGAAACGGTAGGGAATAAAGTACCTCGTAGCTTTAGGGACAACGTGGATGGATCTGCACAAGCCAGACCAGCCCCATTTATAATGATCAAAAACGCCCCGAGCCTTTTCTGTACTTACAGGTGATGTTCTTTTTGGAAGACAAATTAATTACAGATGCAAATCGTCAATTAATTCGCAGTCTGTAGGGGAGTACATTGTACTTGTAATTATCATTACAATAGCTCTATTTTCTGCCCTCTGTGATCGTTAGCGGGTATTTTGTTTTGGATATAAAATTATGAACCCATGACTCATTTCTCTCCACGGATTTGCACAAATGTTTCGAGATGTCATGGCACGCAGGATTTGTTTATTTAGTGTGCATCAGGATGAATGGACAACAATACAATTGTAATCACTGCTAAAATATAATAGCGAGCTATGGGGATATGGACATGAGCAATCACCGTGTTAAAAAGGGTTAATGGCAGACAGACACCTCATCGTTTCCACTGGAAGATAGGCTTCTGGTTTCCACGTGGAATAACACGGAGGCCAGACGTGAATATTGTCAGTCTATATAAAGAAGAAATAGAAATGAATAAACAGCAGCGAGTAACACATAATATACACGTAGAATTAAGCTGAATGTTACATTTCTACGAAGCTTTGCTTACCTGCACGTTGCTGCTTAATATCATGCATTCAATCGTATTTTGCACATGAATTCCACGCGGGCAGAATTGGGCAGTTTGTACCCTTTTGCTCGATTGCATTCACCACAGGGCCAAAGAGCAAACCGAAGGCTAACTAATTACAGATGTGAAACGTTATGTAAGTAAACGGGCAATGTACCCAGTAACCTGTGTTCAGCATCATCACTGGAGGAAACTGCATGCATTAAACTGCATGCGTGAAGAAAAGCAAATGAAAGCCTTAATTAAAGCTTTCAAAAACAATCTTGATCGAGTTTCATTGCACCACTCTGCTAAAAGCCCTTCTCCTCTCCCCCCCCCCCCCCCCCCACTCCCCACCACCACCTAAACCTTGATCTCGGGGTACACCAGTAAAAGCTTTGTCACATGATTGTTACATTATAAATTGTAGTAAGTGTCCTGTACAAAAATAAATTAAATCTATGAAAAGCATGAGAATTGCACCCATATATAACTGTAAGTTTAGTTTTTTTTTTTGGGGGGGTGGGGGGCGGAGGGGGGGTTTCAAGTTTCCTGAAATCTGCATTTCTTATTATTTCGCATTTTTCAGCTGATTCAAAAATATATTATTCGTATTGCGTTCGGTAACGTAAAATCGCATTTAGACCTTTTTTTTTCCTTCCGTGTGTTGTTGTTTTCCTTTCGTAAAAGAAATCTTCAGCTACTTGCAACTGTTTTTTTGGGCGAGCGGTTGGAGGAGGCAAGTCTGTCAGGCAGACGCTATAAGGATGTTTCGTCTCTATTAAA